TGCTCTAGCACTAAGTTAATCCCACGAGTGCATAAAAGATTGACATAACTGCTATAATGAATGGTAATACTCAGCGTAAACTTGTTATGTCAGGCATAAAGTATTAAACCCACGAATGCATATTACGCATATTACAATTTACGAAGCATTTTTAAATTCCCATGAGCAAACAAACGTTCACTTTACAAAGATATTTTAATTTTTTAAAACAAATTAATCACCCTGTCAAGATCCTTTGTGTTACGGCATTGAAATTCGAACAATACGTTATTTCAATGATTTTGGTTTTTTTTGAGACACCCTGTAGATAAACAACCTCACTAAAACTATACTCATGATGTACTTATCTGGGTAAGTACCTAATGAGAGGTTAGTCTCTTTCCCAACTCGATAAACGCTGTACCGTCTCCAGTCGGGAAAAAGACAACAGCCGTGTACCTCAGAGCCCGTCAAAACTCTACCATTAGGCAGCCTAGACCTAGGCCTTCTAGTCTTATATTTTTTCATATTCCGCGCTTTTTCACCTGAAAAGACTGGGACTAGGTGATTTGGGGGCGGGGCGGAGGAACCAAGCCTAGAAGGCCTAGTTGATTTCCCAACAACATGGCCAAAACTGCCCTGAAACTGCCCTGGTTACGAAATGCCCAATTATTGCGTTCTCAAACAGAATTACTTGCAACTTAACGGCGAATTTAAACCGATACAGGTAAAATAAACTCATTTATAGTATAAACTTACTATTTTTATTTGTATACACGTCTAGAAAATCGGGGTTTTTATCATAAAGTTCGAAATAACACTATTTATATTTAATATGTTGACATTTACTTGACAAGGTGTAGCGAAAGCACAAAACGAGTCAAAATATATACCAAAAGTAGAATCTTTCATGAAATTTTGTCTTATACACAACTACATTAATATACATTTTCTCAATTTTGGCAAGAAGCAATCTTGTGTTTGTAAAATATACAAACACATATACAATTATAATTTATTAAATAAAACGGATACATATATTATTAGCCCGTACAGTACTGTATATAAAAACGTACATTGTTTACAAATGGTATATCCGTAATATCTGAACAATAATTTCAAATTCCTCATACCCAAATATAGTTATTCAAAGCAAAACAGTAGATTGTCTTGCGAATAAAAGAATTATTATTTTGTGCTTTCGCTTCACCTTGTCAACATAATAATAGTGTTGCTTCAAACTTTATGATAAAAACCCCGATTTTCTAGACGTGTATACAAATAAAAATAGTAAGTTATACTATAAATGAGTTTATTTTACCTGTATCGGTTTAAATTCGCTCTTAAGTTGCAAATAATTATGTTTGAGAACGCAACAATTGGGCATTTCGCAATCAGGGCAGTTTCAGGGCAGTTTTGGCCTTGTTGTTGGGAAATCCACTAGGCCTTCTATTTTTTCGCTTGCGTCAGGCTTGTGTCCTTCCTCCGCCCCGCCCCCAAATCACCTAGTCCCAGTCTTTTCATGTGAAAAAAATATAAATAAAAAAAATATAAATAAAAATAGAAGGCCTAGGTCTAGGCTGACCATTAGGTAAGAGTATGTATCATTCGGTGCACGAGGACTAGCTGGATCAACCATCAAACTTGCTTGTGCAGGGAATTTATACAGTAAAATCTGCTCTTTCGCTTGTGGGACGTGAAATGATATACTGCGCATGCTTCACCACATAAAGCGTACATAGTGCGCATACTCAGCCTTGTGTTACGTCCCACAAGCGTAAGAGCTGTTTTGTGAATAAACCTCCAGATCATGAAATAAGTTAGTTAAATACCTCGGGCGTCGGTATTTAGTCATATACATCCCTCGGGCCTACGGCCCTCGGGATGTATATGACTAAATACCTTCGCCCTCGGTGTTTAACTCTAACATAATACACAGTGCATTATTATACGACCAGTATTTTGCTAATATCTCGTATCAGTCCATCGCCGCCATGCATTATCCTTTATTTATTAATTTTTTGTTTTGTTTCCCGTAGATCCTATTTGGTTTGCCTTTAATCAAAGTTATTTTCTGTTTGTGGCAACTCCAATCCCACAAAAAGAAGCAAGAAAAGTTTGTCTGGAAAAGAAAGGTGACCTGGCATCCATATCGAGCGAGGAAGAACAGGCTTTCCTGTTTAAGACATTCATGGAAACAAATTCTGCTTGTGAGTAATAATAAATTCGAAATGTCTGATAAACTAGAGGTGGATAAAAAATAATCTGTGGTTGATCAGTACAGTTATTTCGCTTATTATGTCATATAGCGGCCAACTAGCTTCTAACCAATTGGACACACGGTTAACAATTTGACAGGAAATGTCGAGAAAAGTTTTTAGGATATTTTTTCAGACATTTTGTCCAGGAATTACATGCTAAATAATAATAACGGTTATTGACCGTGTTTATAGACAGCATTTATTTCTGACCAATTAGGATTTTGCGTACGATTTGTAGCAGGCTCTATTTCAAACATAGAGTCTGGTACGCAGGCTAGGGTTGGATAAAAAAGGGGCACTATACTAGCGGCCAGTATCAGGGGGATTCATGCTTCCCCTGAAAATCAGGTGTCCCATTTGCCATACAACATAATTTGTTAAATCATTTTATATGCATATTGAATTAAACATTTAGAATAGTAAATTCTGAGTATCTTGAACAAGATATGAGATTTAGACGATCGAAAGAACGTTACCTGTACTGTGGGTATGACCTCAGGCTCAGGAATTGATATTAAATCAGTGTATAGACCATGGCTGCCATGGCGCTTTTCTGGGTGGCGGGGCTTACTATACTGACCTATATACTGTACATGTATACTTGTATGCACTGATTGGTATAGCTATACACTCAACTTTAATTAATCATATAATTCTCGTGTCGCTGAGGAAAAATTTTCGTGATCTACGAAATCAGCCTGGATAGTTGGACAACCATGCAGGTCTCCATTTTAACACATCCTTAGAAGTGTCAGTTATTTAAAATGCAATTATAAATTTCCTGTACCTATTTCAATTTTAGCAGGTGATAAGGTATGGGTTGGCCTTAACGACATTGCTGAAGAAGGCGTGTATGTTTGGACAGACGGTTCTCCCAACACTGATGTGAGGTTTAAAGCGGGTGAGCCTAATAATTATGGGAATAAAGAGGACTGTATTGCTATAATAAAGATTTATGGTGGAAATTTGGGTGACTTCAGTTGCGATAACTCATGTGCGTTTATTTGTGAGACGAATTATGAGTCTCTTTAATTACGCATTGAGATCTGATAAATTCTAGATGCAGTCTAGTTGAGCGTTCTTCATACTTTATACGTACGCACTGAACCGTACGACGTATACCATAGATCTCCAGAAAAGGTCCTATTTTTTTTTAAATATCATTTTTTATTATTATTGTTAAAATCGGTTAATCTACACTACAACCTGTACAATTCGTATTACATGAAATGCATTTCCACAGTGCATGCGGCGCACAGCGTTGCATCATTATTATGGGGGATAATATACATTATAATATATACCATTATTATGGGGGATAATATACCCCAATTAACCAAAATTTTGAACTCAACAAGTGTAGACAAAAATTTCATCACACATTGAAAGAGCATCACAAAATTAGTAATATTCCGAAGTTTCGTTGCGAAATGTTGTAAAATGCGGATAATACAGCCCTGCGAAATTTGCAATTTTCAGTCATTTTGTACTACAAACGGGAAATTGATGCCCCAACACCCAATTGGGCTGTCAATTTCCCATGCGTAATACAAAATTAAATGACTGAAAAACGGAAAAATTTGGAAAGGCTATATTATCCGCATTTTACAACATTTCGCAACGAAACTTTGGAATATTACTAATTTTGTGATGCTCTTTCAAGCTGTGATGAAATATTTGTCTAGATCAAAATTTTAGTTATAAGGGGAAAGGTCCATTATAAAACACTACCTTTTCGGGAGAGCTACTACGTACGTACACACACGCACCGATTTCAATCTAATTAACAGTAATAACTTTTTGATTTACCACGCTCAACTTATACTTTCCAATTGATAAAAATTATGTGTGACGTATGGTATAAAGTGTAACGTATTGCATTCTATCGTAATATAACATCTGGATTTGAAATAGTAAACAGCCGTATTAATTGTAAGTAGAGTTTAGGATTTTAGATAATTTAGTTGTGTATTCAAAGGCTCACATGAAACTGAATCACTTTTGGTGACTGAGATCTTCTCGTAAAAGAATGTAGAACTGAATGAATACACATATAAATAAACAAATGTAAGCGATATTGGTTAATTTATTTTACAACAACGTTTCAATACTAATTCACGCACCATTTCAAGCTGAATTAATAGTTACATAATTGCGTATTACGTACATGGAATAAAACGGTTCGTGTCACGTTGGGAAACTATATTAGTATAATTGCAGAAGCTGCCTCGTCCCTTGTCGCTTCAGTTGGGAATAGAGATCAGTGGAAAAACAATGGAAGCGCGGTACTTAATGGGAATGCGATAGACCGCGCGTACGGATGACGGATGAGGGACTGTGGAAGAGTCAGTCGCAGAAGTATGCAATTTTAAATTATAAAATACGGATAAATTTTTAAGTGCGATTAGAATATTACTTAAATGCTAAAATTCAGCAATTCAAAACAAATATGAAATATAACTTACGGACACAACAAATAGTAATAAATGTCCTAATTAAAGAATCACAGTCAACCGTGAATAAATATGCTTTGCATCTCGGAATACGGGAACTTTCACATAGCGAATTCGCCAAAATCCTGCTCCATTACTGCATAGGCGAACTGCATGAACTGCGCAAACGACGGGGCAGGATTCAGGATTTCATGAAAACACCAAGCGGGTAAATGCATTCAGGTAAATGTAAGCATCACGGTTGACTGTGATTCTTTAAATTAAATGTCAAGAAAATAGGTTTAAACGAATCAAGTCTGATTGATTGAACCTACAGCCCTGCGATTCCGGTGCAGCGGTCTAACCAACTGAGCTACAGAGGCCAGCTGTTGAGTAGCTCAGTTGGTTAGAGCGCTGCACCGGAATCGCAAGGCCGTAGGTTCAATTCCTACCAGAGGACCTTGTGCTGCATTTTTCGCAGTTGTTCCTGGTTAAGTCTTAATTAAAATGTATATATTCTCACTTGGATTACAAACCCTAACATTCTAATAGTAATTCCATCTAGTGAAGTCACTGAAGTGCAAGAATCCAAATAATTTTAGTCTTTATATGCGTACTTCACAATGGTTGCTATTTCGTTGTGTTAATTAAATTTCAATAGACAATAGTATTACTATTTATAATTCAAATTTTGTTTGATATTTATATTTCATGTTATTTACAAAATTTGCTGTATAGTTTTGAAGCTTTGCACAGAATATAATCAGTTCGAGCACAATGGCTGCGTTTCAGTTTGATTTTATAAAAACCGAGTATTTTCATATTTTGATAGCGTGAGCTTTGAGGCTTTCACGATTGATACGATATATTTAAAATATAAACGCCTGATAATTGATAAATAATCCGTGCGAGCACAACGGCTCCAAAATCACAACAACAAATAACACAGTTAATAACAACAAAGCTTTAATGGCTCCGTTTCATTTTGGGTATGTAAAAAGCGAGTATTTTGATAGCGTGGGCTTTGAGGCATTTACGATATACAGGGTGTCCCAAAAAAAACGAAAACTATTGAAATCACTTATTGTTAAATTTGAATGCCCTACCAAACAACTGGACGTAATGATGCGTAAAATATTGAGAAGGTGCAAGTATTAGAATTTAGTTAGAAATATCACCTGGTAAAGTGCGCGATTTTCTGCTCCTGGGAATTAAAAACAGCTTCTTAAACAGTTTCTTTATGCATAAAATTTGCTTATCATGTCAATCATTTATGCACTCGTGGGAACCAACAGAGCGCTAAGGCATTCAAATTCTAACAATTAAATTGTTATTGGTGATTTCAATAGTTTTCGTTTTTTTTGGGACACCCTGTATATTATAGACGCCTGATAATTGATAAATATAATCAGTGCGAGCACGACGGCTCCAAAATCACAAAAAATAACAGAATGTAAGGTAAGTTAAAAACAGCAAAGATTTACCTACCTCGATCTATTCTTCTAAGGCGCTCAATTGTGTAAATTTTCGGCGAATAATCAATATTTCTTTGCGTTTCCTCGACGAAAGCCCGGCATGAAAATGCTCGTCGGAAAAACTCGGTAATTGTCGTATTTTACGAATCTGCCACGTGACTGGTATACGCTCACCGCCACGACACGAAATTTAGAGCTATATGAAAGTTACATGCCATATATGGCATGCAACAAAAATTATCGTGTTACCATGACAACTACTTTAGATAATTCATGTTCGGAAAATACAATGGTTTTGTCAGCAAGGCGAGGGTTTCTGCAGGCATGTATTTTCTAGTATACTTATATAAAGTTTATTTTCGACGCGAATTTTCTGGACAATTTATATTCTAATCGGCATGTTTTTTTCGCTGCTCTTTCGGTATTATTTTTTAAATCTTGTATTTAAATTTTTGTATTTGTTGTAGTTCTCTGTATATTTGTTTAAAATCGCAAAACAGGATATATTAATTATATTCTGTAATGTGAACAAAATCCATCTGATTGGTTTATTTTTTGTCACGTGATCGCTTTTTAAATTCACCGTATTACGAATTTTCCCGACTTCTGCTACTACGTCGAAGTTCTCCTTGCATTTTTTCAGGTAGTTGTATCCGTACAAGAGGAGGTGGTGTGGGGGGTACGTTGTGGTAAAAATAATAAGTAAATTTTCTAGATTTAGCTAACATATTTGCTAGTTGATATTATAAATATCAATATTTTGTTGCCATCTCACTCGATTGCATAATAAAGAGGTTAAAATTTCGGAAAAACTATAGTATGATTTACAGTATTATTTGAATTTATCACCACTGTGCAGACAAATGGTAGTCTGCGGATCCAGCATGGGAAATGACATCTGGTTGGTTGACTATCAAATGAGTTCTTTAATTAGACGTGATTATAAACATACATCGTGGTCTTCAGAACAAACTTGCCTCCACAGTGCTGATATTTTCAGTGTTCTTTAACTTTAATGGACAACTAAAACATCACAAAATTTTGGCAGTAACTGCTTTTAAAACCACAAATTTATGAATATACAACTAGTGCTAGCTATATATATTGTACACTTCTCAAATTTTTAACAGTAATTGCTTTTAAAACTACATGAAATTTATGAATATACAAATGTCAAATGCTATATATTGGTAATTAATAGACAATTCCCATTATAGACTAATTTTAAAACTAGCAAGGAGATGCAAATAAATCACCACAGCTACTGAAAGAGCATACTAAAATTAGTAAAATACAAAATTTGGTAGCGAAATGTTGTAAAATGTGGAAAATATAGCCTTGCAAAGTTTGCAAATTTTGTATACTTTTGTATTGCGTGCGACCATTTTCGGCCTAAATGTGGTAGGAATGTGGTAGGAATTTCCGCAAGCAATACAAAAGTATACAAAATTTGCGAACTTTACAAGGCTATATTTTCCTCATTTTACAACATTTCGCAACCAAA